ATGAAACATTATTGGTTAAGAATATTGTTTCTTGTAACCAATGTTGACATGTTAATAGGAGCAGTTGGTAGAATTTCACTGACAATAATTAATACTTGAAATGGCTGAAAATTATGAATAATTTTGGCACTTTTTGAAATAATAAATATTGTTTTGCAAGCGAATAGTGACTATAAGAACTCAATGAAGGAAAGAAGAAGAATGCCCCTACCTTTCTGCTACCTGATGGTATGAGGTGCTATTTAGTCGAAGATTCAATAACTCGGTGTCTTTTCTACAACTAATACGAACTGCAGCTCTGGACGGAAGGTCGGTCTGACGCAGAATTCTTGCGTTCAATTATTAAGTCCTTCGTCACAAACTAACTAGCCACAGCAGAAGATGTATGCCACAATGTAGTAAGCATTCTATTGGGCAGATAATTCGAGACAAAAAACTGTTAGTAGTTTCTTCAGGAACATTTCAAGAGTAGTGGTGCTGAGGCTTGCACACAGTATCTTATGGATACGTGTTGAACAACGTTGCCACTCAGCAATGTTAGCTTAAAACTTAATGAATAACTTACAATAAATGAGTTATTGTTGTATCTGATGTTTCTTCAATAAAATAGCAATGAAAACTTGTTCGAATCACTTATTGTTAACAGTATCTTTCATAATACTTGTTCATATGATTGCAAATAAGAAAAATGAGAAAGAATAAACCGAAGAACAGTATATATATCTTGACATATTTTAATGGAAATAATATCAAGGTCGATCATCTTATGTACAATAAAGACGAAATGTGAATCACGCTTATATTTATCTTATCAATAGAATTCTTTAATTTTTTTTATTAAATACTGTTAAGTATTTGAGTACGATATTTCAAAGTAATTTTTCTTCTTTAGTCGAAGTATATGTGTAAGTATTGTTTTCTTAGATAGTTTTTATTATTATTAATTGGATCTTTAATGAAAAAGAAAGTGTAAAATGCAAATGCCATCAAATATCAAGCATGATATATAAACCAACTGTGCAATATGATCAAAGAACGACAAATCATTTAATAACATATTTTTATTTTACAATTGAAACTTTTTTAATTCAATCTGTTTTTTATGGTAGGAAAATATCATTCTCACTAATTATATCCCATCAATCTATCTTTCAATAAAGACTATCATATCTAAAGCAAGTAATATAAAAAAATTTAGCACATTATTCAATTATTTCTTTGTATTCCCTCTTTAAAATAATTATTAACACAACTCCCAACTATATATTTGCATTCAATATTAGTCATAAATAATATACAACAGTCAAATCAAACAGTGTTTTATCCAGATTTATTTTTTTCTCAAGAATCAACTTAAAATTCCAGGAAGACAAACATCTACACATAGTACATGGTAAAAAGTCACAAACTTCGACAGCAACTGTCCGATCGATCTTCGCAGGGACGCTGCCCTCTCATTCCTCAAGCTGAATAGAATACTGAGACCAAACAATGTGTCATGGCATTGAAAATGTATGTCTGATTAACTAAGAAATACATACTAAATGATACATATTTAGTTATATTGCATCAACAAATACTAATACGGTCGCATGCGAAATCATAAAAACACGTATATTTTCAGAAAGTTTTATGAAATTCATGTTTACTCGCAAAATACTTGTTACGTCGTCGTATGTCATTCATGAGGATACAAACCATTTCAAATATTTACAATTTTTTAAAGTTTTTAAGCAAAATATACGAGACTCGCATGACTCTTATCATTGCAGATAGTTGCATACAACATATATGACTTGCATATAAATGTCAAAGTTTTACTGAAGTGTATGTGAAAGATGAGCAGAATTTTATTAAATTGTGCTTGCCAATGAAAATACGTCGAGTTTACAACAACTATGACCAAAGTGATTCTGCGTCGATATGCTGATTTCTGCCATTTTAGTAGTGTACATGCTGCTCCATGTAAGATTATGGTTTTTTCCTTTGGTGTGTATTGATTTATTTGCCATTAAGACGAAATCACTCTCATATATCTACACTTTATTGATTCAAAAATTTTGTTCAATTTTTCGAAATTCACCTATAGCAAGGAGGGAAAGAAGACTTTTGTACTTCTAAAATACGAAAAAGTACAGATGTACCGAGAAATATCAAAAAGTACTACGAAGTATGGAGAAGTATCAAGAAGTACCAAAAAGTACCGAGAAGTGCCGAGAAGTACAGAAGCCTACTTTTTTCTCCATGACTTATAGTCTCCCATCCACAAAAGTAAGTTCCTTTATTAAGTTGTTTCTTTTCTCCTCTTGTTTTAAACATACTTGCACTTTCTCACGGAGAACAAAAATACCTTTTTCTAATAGCTCGTTCTCCTCTATACTTTATTATTATATCTTCATTTACATATTCATGGATAGAGCATAAGTTAAACTACACGTACATATACACGTATATGAAGCCTGTTTCATTGGTTTATTGTTTCAGATTTCTTCGATATATAAAAAAATGTATCATTTTCATGATACACTTCCTCGGACGAAAAAAGTACCTTTTTCCGATTCATTTTTTCATCGCCTAATACGCTATGAAAGAAAAAACACACTACACCACAAGATGCAGCGTGAAAGCCTCTACAATATACAAAGAGCAGCTTATTTTATAATTGGACTTTTTATTTTTAAAACGGACAAATAATTTCTGAGCTATTACTTTGTGACATTTCGAAAAAAAGAATTTTTTGGTACATGGTGAATTTCTTTTCTTGTATTATCAATTAATGAATCATGTTTTTTTATTTTATCTCATGGTTCGATCACCAAATATGGCTTTCGATACAGCTCATTAACGAAAACAATAGGAAAAGAAATTAATCGTATACCAAAAAATAATCTTGTTCACAGCGCCAAAGATTAGTCGCAAAGAATTTTGTCCATTTTGAGAAAAAAGTGCAATTATAGAATAAGCTGTTTTTTGTAAATTGTGGAGCTTTTCATGTTGCATCTTGTGGTGTGTTTTGTTTTCTTTTTAGTAAAGCATACCAACCGGTAAAAAGGTGAAATAGGAAAAAAACGAATTCGGCGTGTACCAAAAAGCATATTTTTTTGCAGTGTCAAAAAGTAATAGCTGAGAAATTTGTCCATTTTCAAAAACAAAAAATGCAATTATAAAACAAGCTGTCATTTGTAGATTGTAGAGATTTTCACGCTGCGTCTTGTGATATATTTTGTTTTTTTTAACACAGCGTATTAAATGACAAAAAATGAATCGGAAAAATGTACTTTTTTATCCGACAGAGACTCTATAACTGAAACGGTTAAATAGGATATTTTTCTTCTTTGTAGTGCTGTTTGTGCTCTCTTAGCATCACTAAAATAGGTCATAGACAAATAAATACAAAATAATACATTAATAAAGTATAAAATATGTATTTAACTGTAGCAGACTCTATTACCTATAATAACGACATACTAATATATAGATAATGATGCAAGAAAAGGAAAAAGACAATTGAAAAAGAAACTTTTGTTTGCCTCTGAGAGCGTTATTAGTATTTATGCTCTCACGTGTCTAGTAGTTATTAGATGATCATGATATTCTTCAGTTTTGATTGTACTTCTAATGTAAATGCAATTTTTCTCATATTTACTATTCATAAAAAAAACTCATTTATGGACCAACACATAGAGAATTTAAAGCTTTACCAAAGTCCGTACTTCAATTTTAAAAAGGAAATGTTTACCATTTGTACAGTAACAAACACACTGACATTCATTGTTGGTTTCGACTGCAACCTATCGTTTCTTGTACCTTTTAAAAGAAAACAATATTATGAAAATGGATCTCTAAAACAAGTAATTTGATATCAAAAGATAGAAAATTTTCTCCTCTATTTATCTGACTTACTTTCGATTATTGAAGCTTTTCTGAGAAATTAAAAATTCATTAAAAGCATTTTTCATAGTAATTTTCCAAGGATCTCTAAAAATTAAATTTTTTAAGTTAAATTTTACTTACAAAGTCTATTTTTTGCACCGAAACATGTAGACTCTGATTCTTTAGAAGACTACATGAATGATTAATCGAAGTGTAATATCTTTCCATCAAGTCCACGAAAAATAGACAAGCTTGAGAATTGATTTGAAATTCAGTGTTTTTTTTTAGTTTTTCCTTTTTTGTCATGTTTTTCGGTTTTTTCCCTTTTTTTGGTTTTTTTCCCTTTTTTTTCTGGTTTTTACTATCCGTTTTTGTTTCTTAACTTTTCACTTGAAGCTTTCGGTCAAAGTTTTGAGATATAACCTAAAAAGATAGAGTATTTCGTGGAGATTTTTCTCGTTTGGTTTAAGTGTTGCAATAGGAATATAATATACAGTGTACATTAGTATGTTGATTTCTATGTAAAGTAGACAAGTTGTTTTTAAAATTGACGCCTACTCTTTAGTAGAGCATGAAATTGTCTATTTTTTGGTATATGAGTGAGTAATTTTTTATGAATAAGAAGTGAAAAAAACTTTCCATTGACACTTACGTTAGTGCGATTCATCATGGTATATCCATGACGTACACTTCTTTCTTTTTTTTTTTGATCATTCTAAAATTATCTTGCATGTACATGTGTAGGTTTTCTACAGAATTATTCATGTGTCATCACATACAGCGACAATATTAAATGTGTACATATATAGAATTTTATGGATATGAATGCGAATATATTTAACTTCGTAATGCATTCCTACGCATATTATTTCATTACAATTCATGCATATATACATATTTTATAAGCTTTCATGTTCGACTGGCATGTCAAGCATGTTGTATTCAGTTTTATACGAACAGGAATGATAACGAATAACAAAAAATAATACACATGGTTGACTTCGTTATTTTTATTCACCTCGACGTATATATATTACTAGCTTAATTGCATTTCGAAGACAAATAGAACATTTGACATTTTTTGACACTGATTCAAGCAAAAGCTGATGAAAAATTATTGTCGAATAATGGGAGCAGCAATAAAATACGTAAGACAAGAAGATACTGATTCTCATACATATCCTCTTATATGGCTTGATAGTTCGGTAAATACATCTAAAAAATGTATACAAGGTCAAAAATTAATTCGATCATCGATCGATCATTTAAAAACATTTGAAAATGTTAATAAATGTGAAGAATATATTCGATCGATTTCACAGAATGAACGGATTATATTCATTGTTAATGATCAATTAGCTCGAGAAGTAATACCACGTATTCATGAACTTCGACAAATTTCTTCAATTTATATTTATTGTGAAGATAAATCAAAAAATGAAAAATGGATTAAACAATACAAAAAAGTAATATAATAATAAATACTAAAATAAAATAAAATGATTTATTGTTATTTTTATTTATTATTGTAGGTAAAAGATATTGTTAGACAATTTAATCAATTAATTGATAAAATTAGATTTGAACGTTCAAAACGATGTCAAAATCAAGTAAATGAACCATTATCAATAAGTTTTTTTCAAACGAACACATATCATGAACAATCAAATAATACTTTTAATGATCAATTTATTTATTCACAATTATTAATTGATTCTCTTTTTCAATTAAAACCAGTAAAAACTGATAAAAATAAATTAATTCTTCTATGCAAAGAAAAATATAATGGAATTCATAATGAATTAAAACTTATACAAGAATTTCAAGAAAATTATTCATCAGACAAAGCTCTTGATTGGTATATGAGAGATTCATTTGTTTATCGAACATTAAATGAAGCTGTTCAAGCACAAGATATTGATTTATTGTTTCTTTTTCGGTTTCTTATTCATGACATTCGACAAGCAATTATAGAAAATCATTTTGTATCGCCGATTCGAGTTTATCGAAGTCAATTATTAACCAAAGAAGAAATAAATTTATTGAAAAATTCTCTTGGTCGTTTAATTTCAATAAATTCATTTTTTTCAACAACTGTTTCTCGTGAATTAGCTACATTTTTTCTTAATCGATCACCATCTTCAAATGACCTTGAACGAGTTTTATTCGAAATCGATGCCAATCCATCTAATAGTTCAACAAAACCATTTGGTTTTATCAAATCTAATAGTTATTTTCAACAAATTGAAGAAGTTTTATTTACATTAGGATCANATAATTAAGTTTTTAAATGAAACTGTTTCCTATGAGACCTGTAATTTTTAGTAACTTGAATATTTTGATACTAACAGAAAGCCCGTATCGCATTGGTTATTCTCACACATAACGTGCCTAAAAGATTCAATTGCCATGACTGCTTTGTTCGACACGTATTCACAAGGTACTATGTGCAAATCTCAGTATCATCCGCTACGAAATGACACTAGACAAGTCATTAACAGTCATTTATCTCGGATCATTCGTCTGATAGCATGCTCACTACATTGTGATATATACCTATTCTTGCTTGCAAAAGACTTATTAAGTCGTAAAGACGAGCTGTTGTTAAGCTATACTGAAAAACAAATAAATGTAGAACTTTTGCATCATCCGTTATTTGACTGAATAAAGTATTGAATCAAGATTGTATATTGAATACCTTCAAAAATAAAGTTAATATAAATTTACTTTATTTTTATTTACTCTTTTGGAGTTGAATATGTATGGTAGAGATAGTGCTTCATCGTTTATTCATGAACTTCTTTTTTTCTACATATGATTTAATGGGTAGAAAATTTGATGTCAATTAATCGATTTCTTAGGCTTCGTTTCAATTTTGTTAGGTATCGTAGATTACTCTACTTGACCTTCTTATTTACTAGGTTTCATCGTCAAGAACGTTTTTTCTGTTCGATGTAACTGATTTGAATAATTAATGCATTTATGAAATCCCATAACTTTTTTCTTTCTTTTGTTTTGCACTTTTTTTTCTCTTAAAATGATGAATTTTTAAGTTTCTAATAAATGTACAAGAGAATCCAATAAAATTTTCTTACTCTCCTGATGAATCAGGATTATTTATTCTTGATACTAAACGATTTATACAATCATGAGTCAGCATTCTTGCCACACAATTAGCTAGAATAGAATTTAAATGTAAACGAAATTCATTAAAAAATCATTGAACATACGAAATTTCGATGTATAAACTTGTAATAATTTTATTATATGAATACGAAGTGATAATTCATTTTCTACCATAGAAAGTGCCTATAGAATATTAAAAAAAAATTCGAAAGATACAAAGAAAAAAAACATATTGCTTCTTTTTTCTTACTTTAACAAGTGTTTCACAAAGATCACTGTTACATTGTATTCGTAATAAATAATTAATTGTTGTTGGTCTTAGGCCATCATAATTATCTTTAGCTATTACTGATTTATTTGTTGATTGAATTGATTTATAAAGTGTTTCAAGAATACATTGTTGAATACGTTTATTTGGTATACGAAGAAGATATCCTTTAATAAGAATATTTTCTTTGAGAATTAATAATCATAAAATTATTCTCTTACCAAAATCTGAATAAAAAGAAATTAATGCAGATGAATAGATTTCTGCATCTGTTGATTTATCTAATAGAAATGGTTTTGAACAATTCGTTAAAATATTTATAAAAGGATCTATAAAAAGTGCTTGTTGTTGACAAACATCTGCAAGAATGTTAAAGATTTTCATAAGATTATGTAAATCTTTTAAAATCTAGAAAAATTACAAAGAATACACTTGTTAGAATATTAAACTATAAAATAAATATTTTTTACATATCCATTTTTATGATGTCGATATAATTTTTGGCAAAGATGAATACGACGATCGACTAGATGAGACTTCAAAATAGAGAAAGAATTGCATATTATGTTTTCAAAGACATTAATTTTTACTGTATGTGGATCTTGAAAAAATTTAATTGTTTTTTCGAATTGAAACGGTTCAATTTTCTAAAAATAGGAATTTTAGATATAAAAAAAATACTAAAGAGATTTTAAATAATCGAACTTGTTCATCATTATCTGTTTTTGATGTTAAAGCATGCACAAGAGGTAAACGAGTTTGTGGAATTTTAGGTAGAATAGTATTTTTAATGATCGACTGTTGTTGTACCGTCAATATCGACATTTTAAATGAATGTAAAAATAAAGATTTACAGAAATCACTTATAGGATTTCCATTTATTCATACCATTCTGGTTTTCGATGGTCTCGTTACTTAGCAACTGACTGTCGAAAACCGTTCTTTTCATGGTAGTCTTAAATATTTATATAATCGGCTCTTTGAACTCAATATTTACTTTCAAATGATCATCGAAATATTCCAAATTATTAATAGATGGCGCCACAGTCGAGACGCCTGGATGTGTTTTGAGCAGGAACGACTCGATCCTTCAAACTTTAGGAGAATGTGAAAAATCGCTTTGTCCGACATAGCGTCTCTTTTAGATAATGATAGATTTTTGACAGTTTATTATGTATTTTATCTGCAAATACGATATAATTCAATCAGGAATGATCGGATCCGGGGTGCAACACCTCCCAAACAGGAGAGAGATTTTTTTCCACATGAACCCAAATTTTTTCATGCACTCTGTTAGAAAAAACTCTTTACATCCTTCAAAAAATCAAAAAGTCTCCAATGTTGGCTCCCTTGCACAAGTCCTGAGTTCAATCAGTATTATTGAATGAAGGAACTACATTTAAAAGAAATATAGAAGATTAAGCTCGATACATCAAATTGGAATTTTAAGCTCATTTTGCTGTTAGTATGATGATAGTAAAATGTCTCTGTATACTTTATGATGATAATAGATAGTCAAAGATTTCCGAGCTTCTTCTGAGCATAGAGGTCATTCAGAAAAGTTATGAATAACAGAAAAAAGTCTATGTCTTCATGCAAATGACATTTTTAATTTAACTAAATCAATGTTGTTCAGTTGCAATTTATTTCAACACAACTCAGTTTTTGCTAATAGGAGCTCTATTGTAGATGCTCTACTGCTTTAGTTTAGTTATATAAAACTGCAACGTATAAGAAACCCTGAATTTGTTCTTTTTCTATCAGCCTCATTTATGACAAATGGACGTTTTGTGTAAAATGTAGTTTCTGAGAAAATACTTATAGTTTTACTCACCTAAAAGCAACAGTTTAATTCGATATAAATTTTTTTAAACAATTATTCGTTCTACAATATTACCAAATGCAATAGTTTTTTATCACCTGTGTCAGAGAACTTTGAAAGAATTCATACACAACTCTCGAAAAGAAATAAGCACACTATGTCTGAACTCATCATCAGAAAGAGCATAAAATTCAGGTTTTAACCCATAGTGTTTCATTCGCATAGAATATTTTCAAACAGGTCAACAATGAGCAAACCTTTTTGACCAGAAACTTTCGTACCACCGATTAAACTTTCATCTGCATCAATCTAAGTTAATCTATAAAATCAAGCTAATACAAAAGACTTCAAAAATGTATGAACACGACGAAGCTTCTTATTATTTTCATTAATAGCTATTCAGGACGTTGTCATCCATAATTTATAGACAGCTTGTTTCACTAATTAATAGATACTTAAAAGTTATTCTATGTCAAAGAACTTTTCTAATGAGCAATCATCTAAAACCTGAGTACGATTATTTAATCCAGCTTCAATTTTAATTCTATTTCAAAGTTCCTAAACGTCTTGTATTACTTCTAATAGACTTTAAAATTCCTTTTTTTCAATCAATAGCCATAAATATTTTCAATTGACTAAACACTTCTCAAAAACTTCAATCATATTATTAGAAATCCTGAATACTAAAATAAAATATTAACAATACTCCATTGAAAATCCACTGAAAAAAAAATAAAGATTCTATCCCATTATAATGAATTTTAATTAATATAAAAAGAAATTAATAAGATGATTATTGATACAATTAGATCAAGCTGTTGATCGTATTTAAAAAGAAATGAAAATTATAGTCATCATTCACGATCGGTTAAATTAACGTTTATGAATACCACTAGTTGGTCGAAATGGTGTTGTTACTTTGATTTCACTCTATATTAAAAAAGAAACAAATTAATACAATTAAATGAAAGAAAAAACAAGAAAGGTATAATTTACTTCTTTGCCAATATTTGTTTGTTGTCGTCCAGGAGTTTTTGTACTCATTTCTAATCGTTTTATATTTGCTTGTGCATGTGTCATTGTTGGTGTTTGCCCACGTGCTAATTGTTTTCGTGCTTTTTCAAGTTCTTTTTCTTGTGAATAATTTTCTTTTTCATTATTAAAAAAGTCTTGTATAGGAACGCCTTCAACTAGAAATTGATCTAAAACAAAACAAAAAAAAAATCAATAAATGAAAATATATTGTATGAATTATTATTCTTACATCCAAATTCATGTTCATATTCTTTACTAAGTTGTAGAACAGTATCTTGAAGTTTTTTTAATGAAAATTCTAAATGTTTGCGTTGTTTTTCTTCTTGTACAGCTGAATAACCTCGACGTTTAAATCGATCAGGATCACTTGCTTGGCGCTAAATATTTAAATATTAATAAAGAAAAAAAATAAAGAAAATTTAATTTTAAATTTTACTTGAAATTCTCGATATTCAGCCCAAACTTCGTGCCAATTAGAAAGATTAACAAATAATTGTTCATTATGAATGTAATACATATTGATTTCTTCTAATTCTTTTTCATGTTCTTCTAATAATTCTTCAGTAAATTCGTCTAAATAAGGAAAAATTTTTTTTAATTATTTGTATTTATAATATGCATATATGTGTATACATACTAGAATATAATGGAAGAAAACTTTCCATTTGTTCACGACCATAGAAACATTTTTCATATTGAGCAAATATTTCATCTCGAATATTTTCAATATATGTTCGCATGTTTTGTCGACGTAATTCTTTACATCGATCGATTTCTTCTTCTAACTAAAAATAAATAAATCGAAATTGAAAAACACTTCAAACTTTTCATCGTTCTAAATTTAATTTTTATTAGTTGGATAATCACTTCAAAATGAATATGATTAGAAATACAAGTAATACATAATATTGAAAATAATTTTTTAAAGATAATTGTCATTGTGTCTTTCCTTAGTTGTTAAAATGATGGTACTAATTTTTCATGAACAAGAATAAAAATGAAGATCAGACGAACAATCAACCTAGTGCAGCTAAGAAAGGAACTACCGGTACCGATACTTGCTGTTTGAGCGTATATTAGATTTATATCGAACTTTCAGTAAGACCAGAAAAATCCTAAAAAGATTCATCCCCATAGACTTTTGAAACAAGCTATGAACTTTTTCCTAAATTTTCGATTTAGTTTTGAGTTTCTATCGAAAAATCAAACAACAAAACTTCAACGTGTAATTTTGTCCAAAAATAGACTTGAGGATTCTGGGAATATTTTGAAAGTTTCAGCCGAAAAGAATATTCTTTTGACAAGATATTGAATTTTTAGGTAAACTCAATTTTTATGGCAAACAATCATTTTATGGAAATCCAATATCTCTACAAAGAAATATTCTAGTCGACTGAAACTTTCAGAGTATTTCCGAAGTTATTATACCTATCTCTGGGCAAAACTTCAGGTCGAAATATTGTTATTTGATTTTTTTTGGTAAATACCTAAAGCTAGATCGAACATTCAGTAAAATTGTCATAACTCAGCTCCAGAGACTCATGTGCACGGTTGTTTCTTAGAATTTTTCTAGTTTTACCAAAACCTTCTTGAGAATCAAATATGAGCTTAAGTGGCAAGTATTAGTTCAGATAGTTTCCTCATTAGAATAAGATGATGAGAAAATTGACCGTGATCATTTAAAATTCATCTAAGTCTCCTTGTCTCAAAAAAAGTTAATTTTCGTCCGAAAAAAACGAAATTAAGATGAATGCACGATAAGATAGCACGGAATCTGATCTTTCATAAATAAAATGATTTTTTATTTGGCCCCTTGTTTTTCTATCAAAAGTTTTGATAATTTTCTATATTTTCTGCTTGAAAAATACGTTGTTTTTTTTCATCGCATAAGCCGGAATTCTCTGTGGACCTTCATTCTGTATGCTTAATGTTTTTGTTCTTGTTTGAAAGAGCATGTCAAGATGAAAGGCATAACAAAGTCTCTTTTTTGAATTAAGCTTTGATACTAATATATTAAACATTAGTTACATAATTAGAACGTCATATTTTTGACAGTTCTTCAAGACATCGAACTTTTCTCCCGTTGAAAAGTAAGAATTTAAAAAAAAAGAATTCTTCCATATCCTGCATACTAACATGCTGTTTTCACCAAAAAACATTAACTATATATAATGAAGGTCCACAGAGTATTTTGTGTTGCCAAATGAGCCAGTTTTTGACTCTTGTTTATTGAATATTTCCCTCGAGTGTCATCGTATAGGGTTGAAAATTTCGCCGTAGTCTCCTCACTAAAGCCTCAACATATTCGAAAAATTTCATATGATTTGAATGTCACTAGTTCAAGACCGATTTTAAGAGTGGGCAGCCTTAGTCTATAATATTTTTCAAAAAAATGATAAAGCTCAAATTTTATAACAAATTAGAAAATTCTCTTGATAATACATTGACTATGAAATTTTCATGACAACAACAAAACTACAATGAATGCACATATGAATGAAGTCTTGTTCACAGAATTTTAATATTTTTTTATAATATGCATATACATACTAGAATAAGATTTGCTGGTCGATGAGGTTTATCAAGCGGTAACTTAATATGTTTGTCTGAATCGGTTAAATTTAATCGTTCATAAAGTGCATTAAGTGTATTAACAAGATGTTCAGCCTTTAATCGATTTGCTTGAAATAAAGTATCAAGCTATTGAAGAAAACAAAAGTCATTGCTGACCATGCATATATACATATATTTCCATACATACCTCATGAGCAATAGTAAGTAAATGTTGAACATTTGTTTTCGATAATTCAACTAGATGTACAGGACCATCAATAAGACTAAGCACTTGATTATTATCGGTTGGTAGATTATATGTATTGCCAAGGTCAAGTTCAATTTTCATTTCATGAATTTGTTTACGTGCTTGTTCAATAGCTGATGAACGATCGTTCTATTGAAGCGAAAGGAA